GGATGCTGAGAAGGCTCAGTTTCATCCTGAAGTCATTTTGTGACGGATCAGAAGGCGTCCGAGTTGGATGGAGGTGAATGGAACACAAGTAGCAGGATGCGACGTGTGCCATATGTGCGAGGCCATTGCATTGCGACGCCTCTGTCTGTCTGTCTGTCTGTCTGTGAGTGGGTGTCTCTGTAAACACGTGTGCGGCTTACACGGGGTGTGGAATTCACCAACGAATGAGAAAGCACTGTGCAGGGTGCGGCCTTATTGCTTACTAAGGGCAGGCCCTTTTGTTTGTGTGTGTGTGTGAGTGCGTGTGCGTGTGTCGTACTATGTGTATGACTAAATGTAGACATCACTGAATGAGGAATGTACAGCAATGAATACTGCGAAGGGAATATTAACTTGCACTAAAAAAAAAAAAAAAAAACTGTGCAGGGTGCGGCCTTATTGCTTACTAAGGGCAGGCCCTTTTGTTTGTGTGTGTGTGTGAGTGCGTGTGCGTGTGTCGTACTATGTGTATGACTAAATGTAGACATCACTGAATGAGGAATGTACAGCAATGAATACTGCGAAGGGAATATTAACTTGCACTAAAAAAAAAAAAAAAAAGATGAAAAAAAAACAACAAAACTGAAAAAAAAATGGACACACACTCACACACACAATACTTGATTCCATGAGTCAGTTTTATCATAGGTCTCCGTCATGTGATTTGTGTGGAATTTTGTATTTATTACCGAGTGAATGAATTTGATTCTCTACATGATGGTGATGATTTGAAGAAGGCCAGATATGTTTGTGAAGTGAGAAGAAGACATGCTGTTACTTTTTTTTTTGTTGTATAAATGTACATAAAGAAAAAGTATAGGAATAACCGACCAAATACTACCTTAACCCTCTCAATGTTAGGTGTTTAAAAATTTTTGTTCCTCTTTTCTTCTCCTCCCAACCCCCCGTTCTGTTTTGTCAATGAAATTTATTTAAGATGGAACGTTATTTCTGTTTGAGAGTATATATTATGATTATTCTGTACAGAATTTGTAAGATAACCACAATAATTCACAAAATATTTTTGTTGTAAAAGTAAGGTATTGTAGCTGTAGTGTTTTGTGACTTTACACACACACGTTAACCACTCAAAGAAACAAAACAAAAAAAAGTAGAAGAAATGCTATTTTTGTTGCTAAATGATCAGTTGCAGATTGAAAGTATCAACTCTCCAAATGGCGACAGATTGTCTGTCGCCCGTTAATCAGGTTTGATTTTAAATAAACTGTGAATTAGGTTTCGAAACCCCAAAAGGACAACTTTTTAACTTTTTAACACAAATAGGAACACCAACGTATATTTGTTGTTTTTATGTTGCTTTTGAAACAAGGTGCAAGTGTCTGATGACGACAACTTTGACAAACCATAGTGCGTGTGTGTTTATGTTTATGTATGTGTGTATGTCTGTGCTTATGTTTGACAGAAAGAATTGCCGGGGAACTTTTGCCACCGTCGCTTCTCTCCTTTGGATAGATGGCATTGTCTTTAATCTGAACTATTTCTTATACTGACACACAGTCACACGTCACATGCGTAGAAAATGGAAACGTTTTTTTGCGTGCACAATTTCAAGTAAAATTTTGGAGACAGTCTTAGAACTCGTAATGTATATGGCATGTATTTTTTTAACTTTCCGAGTCAATTGTATAGACAACAAAAAAAAAAACATTCCCTGCTTCTTGCCTGCGGATGCTGAGAAGGCTCAGTTTCATCCTGAAGTCATTTTGTGACGGATCAGAAGGCGTCCGAGTTGGATGGAGGTGAATGGAACACAAGTAGCAGGATGCGACGTGTGCCATATGTGCGAGGCCATTGCATTGCGACGCCTCTGTCTGTCTGTCTGTCTGTCTGTGAGTGGGTGTCTCTGTAAACACGTGTGCGGCTTACACGGGGTGTGGAATTCACCAACGAATGAGAAAGCACTGTGCAGGGTGCGGCCTTATTGCTTACTAAGGGCAGGCCCTTTTGTTTGTGTGTGTGTGTGAGTGCGTGTGCGTGTGTCGTACTATGTGTATGACTAAATGTAGACATCACTGAATGAGGAATGTACAGCAATGAATACTGCGAAGGGAATATTAACTTGCACTAAAAAAAAAAAAAAAAAGAGGGAAAAAAAAACAAAAAAAAAGATGGAAAAAAAAACCAACAAAACTGAAAAAAAAAATGGACACACACTCACACACACAATACTTGATTCCATGAGTCAGTTTTATCATAGGTCTCCGTCATGTGATTTGTGTGGAATTTTGTATTTATTACCGAGTGAATGAATTTGATTCTCTACATGATGGTGATGATTTGAAGAAGGCCAGATATGTTTGTGAAGTGAGAAGAAGACATGCTGTTACTTTTTTTTTTGTTGTATAAATGTACATAAAGAAAAAGTATAGGAATAACCGACCAAATACTACCTTAACCCTCTCAATGTTAGGTGTTTAAAAATTTTTGTTCCTCTTTTCTTCTCCTCCCAACCCCCCGTTCTGTTTTGTCAATGAAATTTATTTAAGATGGAACGTTATTTCTGTTTGAGAGTATATATTATGATTATTCTGTACAGAATTTGTAAGATAACCACAATAATTCACAAAATATTTTTGTTGTAAAAGTAAGGTATTGTAGCTGTAGTGTTTTGTGACTTTACACACACACACGTTAACCACTCAAAGAAACAAAACAAAAAAAAGTAGAAGAAATGCTATTTTTGTTGCTAAATGATCAGTTGCAGATTGAAAGTATCAACTCTCCAAATGGCGACAGATTGTCTGTCGCCCGTTAATCAGGTTTGATTTTAAATAAACTGTGAATTAGGTTTCGAAACCCCAAAAGGACAACTTTTTAACTTTTTAACACAAATAGGAACACCAACGTATATTTGTTGTTTTTATGTTGCTTTTGAAACAAGGTGCAAGTGTCTGATGACGACAACTTTGACAAACCATAGTGCGTGTGTGTTTATGTTTATGTATGTGTGTATGTCTGTGCTTATGTTTGACAGAAAGAATTGCCGGGGAACTTTTGCCACCGTCGCTTCTCTCCTTTGGATAGATGGCATTGTCTTTAATCTGAACTATTTCTTATACTGACACACAGTCACACGTCACATGCGTAGAAAATGGAAACGTTTTTTTGCGTGCACAATTTCAAGTAAAATTTTGGAGACAGTCTTAGAACTCGTAATGTATATGGCATGTATTTTTTTAACTTTCCGAGTCAATTGTATATATTTTCTCAATGAATGGTTGTAACAAAATTGTTTCTTAAATATTTTTTTTTCCTTCTCTTGTATGATATGACATCATCCTGCCAGTGTGTTTGTGCTACATTTTCTTTGTCATGTAAAGTAGTCCCATTTTTGGTTCTTTATATCCCCCCCACAACCCACTTTTTTGGGGGCGGGGTGTTTCTTTTGTTTTTTGGAAAATGCCTTTTGAAGTGTACAGAGTACGGAGTTTGTGGAATTGAATTTAGAAACATTTACAAAAATAAACTATTTTACATGTTAGCATAGCGTGTGCGTGTGCATACCCAACTATCGACTGCGCAAGGTAATGTTTTTTGTAAATGTAAATGACTAAAGGTGCCACAAGATGGTGACAAATCCCTACTTTGTCTATTTAAAGCTTCTCGACTCACTTAAACATCGCTCCTTGGCACTAAGATGTCACAATATGGTAGCAAGCACTGCTTTTGTATAAAGATGCTTCTCAATTCACTTCAACATAGTTATTTGGTATTAAGGTAGCACCGCGGCAATACATTATTTTGGGGGGCCAAAGCACCAACACAGCGAATCGATGAGTTTTTTTTCAACAAAGATGCATAACCAGAAATAAATAAAACTATGTGAATTTCTGAATGCTAAACTACAACTATACAGGAGTTCACTGTATTTCTACATTGTGCGGAAAAAAACGAATTGGGTTGTGGCTTTTGGCCTGTACCATCAGGAGTCACCACAGCAAATCACTTGCATTGTTTGTTCACAGTTGGTAATTAATATACAATACATTTTGTGTTATGTGGTTGTGTTCACTTTCACACACACACAAACCTCGTTCAACCTGAGTTTAAGGTTCTGACTCCTATGTTTTTAGGCATAATTCCCAGAAAAAGAAGTCCTATTTAATGTTCCACTATATAAAACTGTTCTTTGAAAAATTGCAATGTAGCGAGACAGTTTTACCTTATGTTGTGTCCAGAGAATATCGATTATCTGTCCTTGATTTGACCATCTTGCAAAAGATATCTGTCCTCTTCACTGGCGCTGCATAATCCGAAAGGGATAAACAATGTTCTTGTATAGGACACGGCAAGGTCAGAATCCTAAACTTCTCATCGAAGGTACGTAAGATTTCTTTCATATTGAATTTGATTTTATTCATGAAGCCTGGCCATCAGGTTGAATGTTGATGATTTACAGTGTAGGATAACTTTTTTTTCATGCCTTTCTAGTTAGACGTTATTCTTTGTTGGTGGTTTTAGTGACATCTGCGGGTGAAACATCTGATAGCATCGCGTTAAAGTTGTTTTTTTTTAAACCGAAAATCGGACTGATTGTGTCGTGTGTGTTGGTGATGAGAAAAAAAACATGCTTATCTAACTAAATATGTACCCACAGTTTAGTAATCTATGCCCAGAAAGTGTAACAAGAACAATTATTTACATTTGGTTTATTAATGGCATTACTGTATCTTTTTATAAATTACGTAGCGTGCATTTTCATCATTGGATTACAAAAATTGTCATGTTTTTAAAAGGCTTGAATTAATGAAGGCATTAATTTAAATTCATTTCAGCAGGCAAATATGAATGCGTTGGGTCCATGCGGGTCAATTAAAACTCGCATCACATTTTTTTTATACATAAACTAGGTTTGCCGATAGCCGTGTTTTGATTTTCCTCCCCAGCTCTTTTACCGTAACGCCTGTAAACGAGCGGGGGTCGAAAGCCATTCGTCGAAGGGTGCCCTGCCTCTGCCGACGGGTCCAGCCTACTTCCTGGTGGAGCAGCAGCAACTGTCCCGACACTTCGGTGACCTGTCCACTAATTCCGCTCCGAGGAGGTTTGTTGATGTTCTGCAGTGGTGGGTGATTCAGCCTTTTACCCGGCGGCATACATTTGCTTGGGAAAATGGGGAGCACGTTGATGGAGCCCAGCAATAAGGGAGGCTCCAAGAAGCTGCCGAAGAGGAGGAGAAGTCTGCGTATTAACATGCCCGTAAGTCGCTCAAGTGTACTTTGCCGTTTGCCTGTTGTAAAATAGGGCATTGGCTAATTAATGGGCAGCGGGAGCGCACGCGACGTTTGGCTTTGGTCGACATCATTCTGAAACGTTTGTGTGTGTGCCTTTTCGACATCATTGCCACACCAGTACAATCAATTGCAGCGAGCAAAGTTAATATATAGGTTGCTGTTTGTTTACACCCAGCGACCGTTTTATTATTTATTAATTTTTGTACAGTAATTGCATTGTGGACCACATCAAAAAGCTCTCCTGTGGCGGAGGTTCTCCATCCTTGGTTTAAATGGTTTCAAACAAAGCAGTTGTATTAAAAAAAAAAACTTTCCTTCATAAAGATGATCATTTTGAATGACACTGTCACGATAGAAGAAGCCGCTTACTCCCTCCCCTGGTCGAGATGGTGACAAAAGCTGATTGCTCATTTTCAAGAGACAGGCATGTCCCCCTTAAAAAAACGAGTGAACCTCCAGTTGGCTAAATTATGTGCAATGTAGGGCCTGATTGATTAAGCTTTAAGGAGGCGATGCAGTTTACGACATTTGGAGGAATGAAATTTACATAATTGATTTATCGGCGGATTAATATAACAATATATATTCAATTATTTTTTGGGTACCTTAATGCTTACTACACTAGAGATATAAATTATAGGCAGAACATTTGTTGTAATGTGTTAATGTGTTAAACAAAAAAAATCAACAAAGCTAATACAGTATCAGCTGCATTATATCGGTCTGGCCTTGGTCTGGTCCAAGTGCAAAGTTCGCTGTAGTTCTTCATTCTTTTGTTTTTTTTTTTTTTTTTTTTTTTTTTGATGAAAACACCTGAGAAGTAGGAACCTTTTAAAATGGACCTACCCCAAAAATCAAAATAAATAAATTTATTTGTGTGTGTGTGTGTGTGTATTATATATATATATATATATATATATATCATAAAAGCGTAAATTCAACCCCTATAGCTAATGTTGTTTCTCATTAGTGATTTACTGAACTTTATGGTTTGCTTGTAATTGACAAAAAGTGCATTTTGTGTTTGGGCTTTTGTTGTTCTCACATCCTCTGATTCCCCGGGGAGACTTTTGACCTCCATCTGTATCACTGCAGAGTGGACTTTAAACGTACTTCTGATGGCAGAAAGCCATTTTATTGGCCAATGCCGTCACACTTCAGTTTAATTGCAGCATCTTGAAGATCTGTTGTTCTGATGGAAATAACTCAGCTAAACTTTATTCATAAAGCAGTTTTAAAACAATAAGTGCATACAAAGTGCTGAACATGAAGTAAAAATCAGACGTATTAAATCAAAGATAGTTAAAACAATATATTAAGAACATAAAAACAGTACACACGATAAAACACAAAAACAATGCTGAGTCGAAAGACAAAAAATAAAAATGTGTTTTCAGCCCAAATTTTAAAGATGGATAGAGAGTGGCTCTGCTTCGTCACCTCCAGTAGCGTCTGGTTTGGTGACCTGAGGCAGGTACCCTGAGGTGGAGCAGCTCAGAGAGGTAAGGTGGTGCAAGACTATTTAAAACCAAATAAAATAATCTTAAAATGAACTCTAAAATGTACGGGGAGCCAGTGAAAGGAGTCCAGATGTGTTCACTCTTACGAGCTCCCGTTAGAAGAGCAAGCAGCAGCATTTTGTACCAACTGGAGACGCTTGAGGGAAGACTGACTGACTCCAAAATAAAGTGCATTACAGCAATCAAGCGGAGATGTAATGGCGTCATGAATTACTGGTTCTAAGTGCTGTTGTGAACAGAGAGGCTTTACTTTCGCCAGCTGCCTAAGATTAAAAAGTGAATAAATAAAAATAGGTGGATTTCATAACAGCCCCCAAAATCTATCGGTCCAATTTAAAATCACTGTCCTCTTTAAAACCCCAATTCAAGACTGTTGGCTTTAGATAACACGCCAGGGGGCCCAAGTCAGCAAGGTGAGATGCACATTTGGTCACTGGGACCAAACGTCATACCTTCTGGGGTTTTTTTTTTTTCATTGAAGTTCAATCATTTTAGTGCCATCCAGTCTTTGATTTCTTCCAGACAGGACAAAAGTGGCCTTAAGGAGAAAGTGTCCTTTTTGCTCAGCAGGACATTGATCAATCGCAAAGCAGCAAAAGGAAATACCATCCTTTCCTAACATGGAATGCAAGTGACAATAAATCCAATAAGACCAGCAGTGGCCCCAAAATTGAACCTTGTGGAACACTATACAACGGTGGGGCAGACTGGAACTCAGAGCAAGCAAGTCTAATGCAAAAAGTTCTGCCTGCCAATTAGGATCTAAACCACTCTAGAGCACGACCACTAATGCCCACCCGATGCAAACGAGCCAACAGAATACTGAATACTTGTCCACTGTATCAAATGTTGTAGTCAGGGCCAACAAATCAACAAAAACAACTAACCAAAAGATGACAATTTTAGCTTGTCCCATAATCATGTCTACGTGTTTTCTCAGATGCACTTCTTTTGCTACTGTATTAGTCAGCCAGTGTGGAATGTCAAGTTGTATCTTTGGTATGAGGGAAACTATTTGCTCAAGTCATGGTCAAATGCATCATGTTTGTGCAGAAATGCAATATTGTTTTATTGTCTGCTGCTCTTTTAGTCAAAACAGAAGCACCTGGCCTTCCAACATTTCTCCTCACGCACATTATGTCTCTTTGCTTTCTTGCAGGATTTCTCGCCATTTGCTTCTCCTCGGGTGGAAACGAGTTGCTCAGCTAAGAGCCCAAACACGGTAAAGAATTTCCAGCATGGTTACAGTTTGATCTGTATAAAAATCCTTTTTTTAATTTATTTTTTATTGGGAATTTGTGAATAATTTATAAGTGTACACCTTGATGACAAAATTCAGGCATATGCAAGAGGCGGATACCCAAACAGTTGGGCAATGTTCTGCTGATCCAAAGTAGGATATTTTGGCCTTGTTGGAGGTTTGTGCTCTACTCCAAAGTGAACACGAGCTCCGAGATCCCTTTTTGTTTTGCTTTCAGACATAATCAAAGTTTTTTGTATCACAGCATCTTCCTGTTGGGGGCTGCTTTTTATATACTGTTGCGCCTGGGAGGTGAATCCCTTCACATGAATACTTCACACTTCCATTTTTCTTTAACGTTTGATGATCAACTTGTGTCAGATTGTACTGAGTAGCCAGGATAAGTCATCGTCACGTTTTATTTTCCTTCCCACTTTGTCATCACTGACACCCGTCTTTGGTTGCAAACAAAAAGCCTCAGAGAAAACAAGGCACTTGGTAAGTTAATCCTTCAGATCAGGGATCGGCATGCTTAAATGCTCAAAGGCAAGGCAAGGCAGTTTTATTTATATAGTACATTTCGTGCACATGGCAGCTCAATGTGCTTCACACAACCAAAAGCACAACAGCAGAAGGCATTCGAAGGCAAAGCAAAGAGAACAAAAGTATCTTACGAAGAATTATTTAAAGAAATCAAATACATGATTTACATTGTACCTGGTGAATGTGATTTTTGTATTTTCTCTTTATTTTCTCACACGATTGTAAGTTATAAGGAGTCCGTGATTTATTTAGTATTTTTTAAATACAGATTAGCATTGAAGGCACTTTTTTTTTTTTTTTTTTTTTTTTTCTCAGAAACTTTTCTTTTCTTGGATTTAGCGAGAGCTTGCCTCCCGGAGCAATAAATCTCGGCCCCAGGTGTCCCACATCGGCACTTGTGACACATATTTTGAGGAAAAAAATAAAAAGAAACACTTCTAAAAAGATTTTATGTAATTGTTACAGGAGCACCGTCATCTTCACATTTAAAGTTAAATTTTACAAATGAACCAACTCATTAAAATTATAAGATCATTCCAAAATCAGAGAGAGCCACAGTAGAAGGATGAAAGCGCCACATGCGGCTCCGGAGCCGCAGGTTGCAGACCCTTGCTTTAGATTCTCACTGAAGCAAGTCATGCTCGTACACACACACACACACACACACACACACACACACACACACACACACACACACACACACACACACACACACACAAATTGAACATCTTAACCCATTTTTAAATTGGGAGAGACCCCACAGGTGAAGAGACAATTTTCTTGAAAATGTTAGTTCAACTCAAACTACTTCAGGGATATTCAATTTGAGAATTTCCACAGTCTGTTTACCGGCTCGTGCTATTTTCTGTGTTGTATTTTTGCCGTCATTCATTTTCTTCCAACCCTTTTGGGCTTAGTGTAACTTGACGCCAACCGTGCATACATGGACCTCGTCCGTCTACTATGGGATATTGATTTGTGTAAACAAAAGAAGCCTCTTCCTACTATCTACGCCGGTTACTAATATTCTGAAGCATGGCCATATACCTTTATCACTGCACGACTTTTACAGTCCGCACGAGTCACGCCTTGCCCCGTCCCCTTTTCACAAGGTCTGTGTATCTTCTTGCACAATAGCAGCGAGTGAGAGTTGCTTGCAAACAAGACGAGATGGCCGTGCGCTCTCGCTTGTGCTGATTTGTCACAGGGTAAAAAGGGGAAATAAACGTGTGAACGGGGGCAGCCTTGAGCAATTGCCGTCCTGTTCAGCCTTGTTGGGACAACCAGAGACTGTCTCACTTGGGAACAAATGACTACTTCTACTGTTTACACAAAATTACTCTCAGGGCAGTAGAAACTGTACAGATTACATCTCATACTGTATATCGCCATGCGCGTAGAAAGTGGTTATTTTTGTATTTCGTCCAATTGAGGCCTTGAGCATGTTCTTCCTATAATTCATATCATTATTGTTGTAAAAATTACGGGACCCCCCCCCCAAAAAAAAAAATATTTTATCATATATTTTTTGATAAATTGGCTGATCAGTCGCTGACTGGAATTTTATGCTGCCAAATATTGGAATCGGCATCAGCCTAAAAATTCGTTAACTATAATAATAATCATGTTATCTGGTTGCGTGTGCCCTTGAGTATGCTGCAAATGGCCTACTTGAGTTATACCTTTTGTCTCTAATTGGTTGTTTTTCCTCAGGCGTGATGGTTTCATTAGAACAAATTAGAGCCACACGATGGGGCCATAGACAACTGATTTTCGTTCCCCCCCACCGTTCATAATATTTTCAGGATTTCTTGTATGATAAATGAGGTACTTTTTTTCCTCTTTTGAAAGAGGTACTTTTTTTCCTCTTTTGAAAGAATCTTTCTGGACTTCACTAAACATAAATACATTTTTAAATGAAATAGAAAGCCATTTTTGAAAACTGTTAATATTGTAGGGCGGCACATTGATTGACTGGTAAGCATGTTGGCCTCCCCACATTAAATTAGTGCTTATAGAAAAATGTGCATTATTTCGAGCATGATTCCGGCATCACTGTAACAGCACCAATTTGTGCACCTTCAGGACACTCAACTTTTGCTTTTTTGCCTACTGAATGTTGTCCGACTCATGAATCATCAACAGAAAATTGAAGGACAGTGTCAAAGAGAAACATTCAATAGCGCACAGATTGCTACCAAGGCCAAACAATAATACAAAATGGTAGCGTCCTCCCTCTTTTAGTTTGGCACTCAGTTGAATCCTCTCCATCTTGTTGACCATGTGAACAAAAACATCAGATTGGCACTCATGGAGATGTAACTGCACAATGATATACGAGCTACTGCTGACATCCGTGTGCAGTTGTGAAAAGCGATCAGTGTTGTGTATCTGTGAAAAGGAGAAGTGCCAGGTTGCATTTAGAAACTGTAGACAGCTTCTGTTTTTTTCTTAATATGTCTTTTCTATATTTGCTTACATCCCCAACAATGTGTTTGCTACCCACAACCCTTCCACGTGCATTCGTGCTGCAACGTAAAAGTACATCCTAATGGTGTTACAGGGGGAGTGTTGTCTCCATCCAGCCAGCCCCAGCAAAGGGGAGCCTGCCACCAACCCGCCGCCTAGTCCGCAGTCGGCCATGGTGCAGTACAAGTCCAGCTCCGGTTCCCCGAAGAACATCTTCCTCTCTTCCTGTTATCAGACCTCCCCAGCCAAATCCCCCCGTCGCCTCAGCTTCAGTGGCATCTTCCGCTCCTCATCTGGCACCAACCCTGCAAGTGTCAAAATATTCTCCCGGGCCCGCAGAGGTAAGCCCAAAAATTGAAGTATTGCTACCTACATACAACTGGGTCAATATGCTATGACAATGCGCCATCACAAAGTCCAGACAACTGATGTTTCCTTATGGAGGCACGTAGCTCCTCACTATGACGCTCATCTCCAATGTTTGCTGTATGAAATACTTTTGTCTCTTGGCATGCCTCCCTCTCACCAGTATGTCAAGTGTGCTAGCTTGTTATTTAGGCAGCTTTTACCCTTATTACTCTTATTACTCACAATACAATAACTACCTGTGTGAAGTGAATATCAAAATCTCCTGTTGCACAGAAAAACATTTCGGTCTGAAAAGGCATACAAATCCACATACTACATGACCAGTATAGAATCAGCTAGCTAGCTAGCAGCTAATGTTGGCAGTTGACGCTTTGTGTGTATTCATCTCTCCGCTTCATCTCTACACGCTGCATTTCTGACTCCTAACAAAATGTAAACAAGGAAGTGAAAGGCACGGCTCCCTCAAAAAAAAAAAAAGAAAAACATCCACTGCTTTGTTTTGTGAGCACAGTCTTGAGGTGACCGCTTGTGCCACATGAAATGCTTGCTCTGTCAACAAGGAAATGGAAACATTTGGTTAGGTGTATTTTCAATAATTTTTTTTTTTTACTTCCTGTCAGTCTGTGATCGCAAAGCTGAATTGTTGGATTGCGCTACGAGTTTGACATTCCATTGGCGGGCACAGCATCAAAATATTTGGTCACGGCCGCTATTTGAACACATTAGTCATCTCATCTCATTGTGACTGGAAGACATCTCCAAGCACCGGTTTGCTCAATAGTTACGTAACTGCATGGAGACTATTTTGCTGGAAACACCAAGCGTCAAACTCTGCAAAGATGACTCATGTGTTTTTGACTCATACAAAGGACTATTCTTCCACTGTTTCTTCGGAGCGATTGGCTGTTATCGGAAAGTTAATGCTTGTTATAGATGACGACCGAGCCTCAAAATGTTCTCACTGGACAAAAGTGTTGGGATGGCTCAGCAGCACACCTACAGGAAGTGAGACTGCAAGAATAACACCCATGGCAGCTTCCCAGTGCAGTTAGTGTGGTGGTTAATATGTCTGCTTCACAGTTCTGAGGTTCTGGGTTCAAATCTTGGCTTCGTGTGTGGCGTTTGCTTACGTGAGTTTTCTCCTGATGCTCTGGCTTTCTCCCCACGTTCCAAAAACATTCACGTTAATTACTTAGAAGCAAAGTCGCTCTGAGGCAGAAGCTTGTTGAATGCTTGAGATTTTATTTCTTTCGTGGATAGTTATGCCAGGGAGGTCCCATGTAAAAGAATTATTTCATAATGTGATATTTTTATTTTCATTCAGAATAAATGCACTTGAATTAAAGGTTGGATTGTCCTGTCTGTTGTTGATTTGTTTATTTATTTTGCCCTGATATTGATAAAAACACTGAATTCGTTTGAAGCTCAAGAACACTTCTTAACTATGGGTGCCAATAATTATGGAAGGCATTGCGTGTTCTTGTGCTAAAAATAAATACATAAACGAATCCAAATCCCGCCCTTCGAGTGAATATCAGTCGTCCTTCTTCTTAAAGCACTAACCGTTGTTTCGGTCTCGAATGGCAGGACATGCTTGTCGATTTCTTGCATTGGCCACAAGGGTGCGTTGTAAGCTTAAATTATTTTATCAGCTTGTGTAGACAAGCTCTTACACAGTTAGTTTCATCCAGTATTATTCAGGTCGTCTGATGACTATCTACGATGATCGTAGAATCACATTTTTTTTTCCAAATAGGATGTCCATGGCCTTTTTGAGGCTCTGGCATCCCGCTGAAGCCAACTGTCGGTCTTTCTGGCCTTATCTGGAAGTGACCAGGCTCTCCTAGTCGCTCCTGTTCTCTCCTTCCCTTCCCTCCCCTCCTCTTTCTCACTCTACGTTGCTATAGTGTGCTGCTTGTTGTCAGTAAATAAAGGAACTGTTCATTTTTTTTTTTTTTTGAGTTTCCAAAAATGAACAGAACATGGACCTTTCAAGGGCAGCGTGATGTTAACCCACACCGATAAAACCAAGCTAGTACTAAAATGCAAGGTCTTAAACCTTTCATGCATCCTGTAACCTGATAACATGATAAGCTATCCACTGTGGCGTAAAATTATTATCCACTGGTGCTGCACCGTAGCCTACAGGTTAGTTCATCTGCCTCTCAGTTATGAGGTCTGGGGCTTAAATCTCAGGTCTGACCCTTAAGTATTCTCATTTGGGTCATGGGTGAGATAGAAATTCAGAGCACACTGAAGTACAAGACATATGCAGGAGATAAACGACCAACCACTAGGACACTGTGCTAATGACCTTGGATTAGATATATTATTAAATCCTGCATCATGTATCATTAATTGACATGGCTACCCCCGAACAGATTCCTTCTAATCAGCTTTGTTGGTGGTGAATAAGTTCAACAGTAGTGAATTGAATTACGGTGCCCCACAGTAGTAGCTGGCACGTCTGCCTCACAGTCTAGTTGTCCCCGTGTTCGAATCTCGCCTCTGTCTGACCTTCTTGAGTGGATTGTGCGTGTTTAGCTCCTGTGGTTGCGTGATTTTTTTTTTCAGGTACTCTGGCCTCCTCTGCCACATTCCAAAAAACATGCATGGTAGCTTTGCTCTTAATTGTTCATAGATGTGAATACTTGTTTGTCAATATCTGCCCTGTGATTGGTTGGCAACCAGGCAAAGGTGTTTGCTGCGTCTCGCCCAAAATCAGTTGAGATATGGTCTTGAGATGCGAGAGTACCAATACCAATATTGTTTTTGGGCTGATACCAGCCTTATTTTATGGTATCAGTTACTCATGGAGGTTGCCGATACCAGCCACGGATACTTAAGGCAAAAAAAAAAAATAAAAATCGAACATTGAATAAGTCCTCTTCTTCATTAGTTGCCGCTATAGAGTTTGATACAGTGGCGTCAAAAACAATTTTTTGTTCACAATTTTTTGTCATTGTGTAAAACGACATTTTATATATCGATATCGGTGAGTACTCAAAGTGTGAGTTCTCATACTGTTATCGGCCTGACAAATGTGGTGTCGGATATCTCTAATAAGCTCCAGTTCACCCTCGACACGAATAAGGACATGCGCTGTTGAAAATGGAAGGATGGTGCTGAGAGCCTTATGTGACATTAATTGAAGTCAAGTCATAGCTAACATCATCAGTCATTTGCACTGTATGGACCAGCTGACTGCACACTGAACCCCCCCCCCCCCTGCTGTCACCTGATGGGGACTGTTAAAGGTCTCCACCCCAAAAAAAGAAAAAGTTCATGACAGCTGACATCACAAATGTCCGCAGCAGCAGCTCACAGCCATATGCTTGATTGTTCTTCTGCTGCAGTGTGGAAGGAGCTTTTCGAGAAGCAGCTTGTGTCACGCATTGGTTGAGTTTACTCTCCGTGTGGTGGGAGGTGCAGTGTTAGGAGGGGGGCACAGACGCCAACCAATCGCTGCCATTTGCCCTGGCAGGCTGGAGCCACCCACAGCTGCACCTGACAATTTACGACTCTAATGCAGCTGATAGGTGGGAGGGTCCCAGGGGCAGGCGTCAACATCACTAGGGAGGACAAGTTTTGACTGCAAAAATTACAGCTCAATTCCTTGTCATGTCCAGCTTCATGTATTGTGGATTCTATATGCGTGGATGTGCAAGATTAACCTTTAGAGGGGCCTTGCGGCTTTTGCCTTAAACTTGGCAGCCCTGTCTAAAATCGCTGCATCTAATTTAAAGGAAAAGTGCACCATGTCCTCCCCCTGAAGGACAAACAGCTTGTGACCAAGGCGAGTGAGCCCGTTTGTTGTGTCGCCGTGTCGTAATGCGCTGAGCCCGCGACCCGCCGCTGCGCTCCATGAAGAGGTTTGGCAGCCTGAGGAGGAGCAAGAAACGCAAGGAGCAAGATGGGCTCGGAGGGAGGCAGCAGTCCGAAGCGTCCTGTCTGTCGGGTAACTCGCGCCGTTGCATGCATTTTTTTTCCCATCTGCAGTTTATCTAGCGACACTATTGGGGCAATGATCACTGACAGTGTTTGGCATCCACTTTTGAGCTTGTGTGAGTGAAGTAGTGGTTCGAATCTCATTCCTGAAACATGCATATTCGGTTCACTGCAGACTCCAAACTGTCCATAGCAGTGAGTTTGAATGATTGTCTTTCAGCGCCTTGTGACTTGCGATCTGTCCAGGGTGAATACCGAGGCCCCTTTTGGCACGCGCCCCTGATATCTATCTAGCTATATCTAGCTGTCTAGTTATATGGATGGATAGATATAGATCGATTTATGTATAGATATGTAGATATGAGGGGTTCACGGTTCAATATTTTTTTTTGATTTTTTTTTTTGGAAAGTTTTCTTGCCTTTTAAAAATTCACTTTACGTTTTTAACTTTGATACCTTTATGCCCCCCATGATAAAAGTTGCAAGGAATGGTTTGAGATAATTTCTTCTTTGGTCAAAGCTAAGTTGTGTCCCGTCACAACATACCGGTCCGTGTATGTAAAATACTGTAAAATCCTACCGGGCAACTGAAATGAAGGAGAGGGTTTGGGTTTTTTTCCACAAATTGCAGCCTTTACTGTTTGAAAATTGCGTTCTACTGAACGGATTACATTTTCAGCCCTGCTTTCTTCCACATTTGAAAAAACTTGCACATGTGAGAATCAATTGTGTCTGTCCTCAGTGTGCCAGTGTGTGGCCCCTCCCTCTGACCTGTTTTTGGTTGCCTTTCGCTTAATTCAGTGTGGGCTGGGGCTTCCCCCCCCCCCCAATCATTGTACCTGTCTCACCTACACACCTGCCAGTCTTCCCCTCGCCAGCCACACTCACCCCTGCAGCATTAAGGCCAATCTGAACAGCCAGCCGTTGCCAGTTTGTCGTCTCCCTTCCCTGCCATACTCTCTGCTGCCCAGCTGTCACGCCTGCCCCACCAGTACCTCTTGGTTTAGTTTCTGCCTTTGGTTCCTCCCTCCATGACCTGGCCCTCTGCCCTGACAATAAACCTGTACTGAGTTCATTGCGTCTGCCTGTGGGTCCCCTACTTGTCTTCAGCTAAGCTTAACAGCACATCAGGTTCATTGAAGACTCCAAATTGTCTCGAGGTGTGAATGTGATTGTAAATGTTGGTTTTTCCACCGTGTGCCTTGTGATTAGCTGCCAATCAGTCCATGAGGTACCCCTGATAAGATCTATAGAAAATGGTTGGATTGTTTCTCAGTGGGTAGAGGTTAGCACTGCCGCAGCATTCATGTGTGGATTTTTCCCCCCCGCATCCTTTGGATTCTTGCCACATTCCAATAGCATGCATATTAGGTGTATTGAAGACTTTCAATGATCAATCAGTGTGATGGTTGTTGCGATGGACTGGTGACCAGTCCAGGGTGCTTTTTGCCCAAACGTCTGGGATAGACTCCAGCTGAGAGAAAACAGATGCAGGCGTAACACAGCCCCTTGTCATTGTTGTTGGGGAAGCATCGAGCTCTGCGATTTAGTGCGCCGAGGAGCGGAGCGAAGCAGAGCGCTGCCGCGTTTAAACGCAGCCATATGTGGCTTTGTACGGTGCGACGTGCTGACAGCATCATGTGATGTGAACAATGTGCCTTTGCTGTACAAGTGACATCGACGAGGAAGCTCAATGAAGGGGCGATTTGAGGTCAGCTGTCCTCTGGGTTCAGATACATTTACTGTTTTTCATTTGATTATTTTACATTTACGGCCTGGAAGTGTTGTTCATTAGTGATAAACTACGGCACATTCTGACCTAGCAGTCGGTTCAAATTTGTGTTACTGTATGCCTGCACCAAAGGTACTCCTTTTTGAAAATAAATAAATACATTAACACTGTACTTTGAATACTTTTGCATCAACGTTTCAAAAACTTTTTATAGAAGCTATCATTGTTGATAATTAAAAAATTGTATTGTAATAATTTGTACACTCTGGTATAAATTGTAACAATTGTGGGCTAAATTGTAACAATTTATTTACCAGAGTGGGCCTCATTTGATTTTCTAAACAGAAGGATGGCCCGGGTCCTTCAAAAAAAAAACGCTTTCAATGCTAATGGCTACCTTCAAAGTATTTAAAGTGCATTTACACTCGCCTCATTCAGCAATTCCAACAATGATTAATTGTTGGAATGGCTGTGGCTTTGTAAATGTTGCCTTTGATGGAATGTTAAACCTCAGAGTCTTGCTCAAGGTTACGGGTACTTCGACAAGGGATTTGACTCTTGGAATCGCTTTGTCTATTGTTATTCTGAAAGCTCATCATGCTTCACAACTCAGCAATTTTGGGAAGCGCACTGTGTATCCTGGTGAAAATAAAACAACCCAACTCGCTCATTAGCGCCACCTCTGTAAAGCTAAATGTTTGTTTTTAACCCATAAATGTTCATATGGGTTACGCCACAGGCCCGAAAACATTTTTTCAAGAGTATTGAAGAGAAAATGTATTTATTTTGTTAAAGTCAGTCTGTCGCTTCTGCTCGAAATTTAGAAAAAAGTACCCACCTATGACCCGTCACCACAAGGTTCACCATTTGAGACTAAATTTGTTGGTCATGTCTATCATAATGTGGTGCACGAAAAGTTCTCAAGGAGTCATACTCAAAAGTGAAAGTCAGCCATTTTGGGTTGAAGCAGCCATTTTAGCTAGACTTCAAGGCTCATATTTTATAGGGACAGGAACTATGTATCCCCGATTGGAAGAAGGTATCTTAGATGGGCCCAAAAAAATAAAACCCTGTCTAATTTGGGCATAGAATTGCATCAAAGTTTGATAATCATTTCAAGGATTCGCCATGTGAAAAAGTGATGCTAGCTTAAAGTATGGTGTTGTGGCGTTGACCAGTACTGTCGACATTTTGTCCCTTTTCATGTAGCTAAGCCACATTGTGGCTGACTGTCGACTATTTTGTGATTAGATGTTGTTTGGTGTCTGTAAGTTACGACAAGAGCCACGCTTCCTGTGTCCTGGGTGGTACGCCACCGCCCCGCCTGCCAGCAGGCTCAGGAGAGCGAGCCCCCCGGCCGCGCTGTTATCTCCTCCTGTGGAATGTGCCACAACAGCACGGCTAAAAAAGGAAGGCCAAACCGCGGCAGCAGGGCCTGCCGCACGCCAGCTAAATGTCAAGCGATACTGCCGGGCCACTGCTATACATTACAACACACAAGGTCTACCATTTCCAAGAATTGTTACACCTGTGGATTTTGTTATCACCACCAAGGAGCTTATTAGCAAGATAAAACAAACAAACATATAAACAAAACAAAAAAAAAAAAACCTAACCAGTTTACAGTTAAAACTAGTGTGGATTCAGATCCAGGAACACAATGCACATTTGCTAACGCTGAAGCATTTCAAAAAAAATTAAGAAGTAATATTTATTTTTTGCAGTGCATAAATAATACACGCCTGTAATTGTTGTTTTATGTTCTATCTCCATGAGTTCCTGACTGTTTGTATCCAAATTCAGATGTTTACGGGTTAGCAGTTACCTTAGCTTATGTATGACATTTCCCATTATGCTTTAGAATTTGGTTAAATGCACAGCGTACCAGTCTTGTTCCAAACGAATGACTTTTTTTTTTGTTCCAAATTCTAAAAGCTATTTTATTGTTATTTTTAAGCTATATAAAAAAAATTTTAAAAAGAAAATACATCATTCAATCCTTTGTAGATTCACCTTTGGCAGTACTTACAGTCGAAACTCTTTTAGCCTATAATGCCACAAAGTTGGCACACTGACAGATATCTTGGAGCAGTTTCGCCCGTTTGCCAATTAGGTGGGAACGTTGGTGAAAAGACATTTTCAGATCTCTTCAGAGATTTTCACACGGATTCATGTCGGGGCAGGCATTCAAGGACATTGAAAAAGTTGTCCTGAAGCCACCCCTTTGATATCTTGGCCATGTGCTTCGGGTCGTTGTCCTACTGAAAGATGAGCAGTCGCCTCAGTGTCAGGTCAAAAACACTCTGGAGCAGATTTCATCTTTCCTAAGTCCCATGACTTGTCTTCCAATTCCTGTCGCTGAACCATGTTGCTTCAGTGGTTGGTATTAACCAGGTGAAGACCGGTGCCAGGTTTCCTCGTGAAATTATGTACTGCATTCATCAAAATGTTCGATATTTGTCTCATTAAACCGGAAAATGTTGTCTATTCGTGTCTGGGTCTTTTAGGTACTTTTGGGCAAGTACTGTAGGTACTTTTGGGCAAACTCCGTGCAAGCTAACTTGTGGCTTTTACCAATGAGTGGCTTCCGTCTGGCTGCTCTACCACGCAAGCCTGATTGGTGAATGGCTGCAGAGACGCTTGTACTTCTGGAAGGTTCTTCCTTATCTAGAAACGAATGCTAGAGTTCTACCAGAGAGACGTTTGGGTTATTGGTAACATCCACTATACTACGACTTGTCTGCCGCATTGATCAGTTTGGACGAGGGGCCAACTCAAGGAGGAGTCTTGTTGGTGCCGAACATCGTCCATGACGTCCACTAGCTCATTGGGTCATTCAATGGCGCAGAAATGTTCTCTTCCCTTCCAGTTGTGTGCCTCGAGGCAATCCTGTCTCAGTTGTCTACAGGCACTTCATGGTTGGTTTTGTGGTTTGACATGAGCTGTCAACTGTGGGAACTTATACATTCGGTTTGTGTGCCTCTCCAAACGGCAAAGTATGCCCAGTACTAACAATGTTTTGAGCAGATGTGCCTGACCCCCCCCCCCCCTCCCCGCATCCAGACTGGAAATGAATGGCCACCGCAAGCCAATTTAAGGGACTTTATAGACACAGCTATTCATATTCAAGTCAATCTTGCATAAATAACCCCTTCAACATGTTTGAATGGTCGGCATTTGAGATCCTGTCAAGATTTTAAAAAATAAAATAAAGTTAACTGTGGGCCCTGTAAACTATTGAGACTCCATCATATGTGTCACTCATTGTCTGGCCTGGCAAATATGCCAGCGGTGTCACATGTCACGGCGTGAGATTGTGACGCCTCATGCGAGCAAAGCATGCGGTGGTGGCGCAGTCATGTGACTGACACCTTGGGACTAAAGCAGGGGCTGCATCACAGGCAGTTTAAACCGCTCACTCCATTGCTGACGTAACCAACTATTAATTATATCCAATAAAATCTCCAAAAAATCATTAAGTCATCATTTTGCAGAGTAGTGTATACGTCTCAGGGGCTGATTTGTTTTCAAGCTTTGCTGTGGCAGTACTTTGGGGCTTGTCGAGGTCTCCAAAAAGAAGATGACGGCAAACAGAAATTCCATCAATGTCCTTTGTTTTGCCTTATCCTCTGCCCCTAAAAACAAGATCGCACATCAAACATTACTCCACTTTTCCTGGCGTTTAATTTGTTATTTTTTACTTATTGAAATGGCACTATAACAAAGTCATATTTCTAAGTGGGAAGTTACTTCATCCTTGCCTGTCCGCGGCTGCGCCAGTTGTGCATTCCATCTCTAGCATGTGATGTTATCCACAACATCTTTCCAGTGTCTTTAAGCTGTCAAATGACGCTGTTAGTGTCACTGAGAGCGCCGGAATGTATTGAAATGACGTTCAATACTTTTTTTTTTCTTTTTTTAGCCTCTGGAATCTCCACACCACCTACCACCCCAACGCAGGTCTGCAGCCAGCCCGCGTTCACTCAGGAGGCCCGCCAGAGCGGCCTAAGCCCGGAACGCCTGGGGGAACGCTCCCGCCCGCGCTCGGTGTCCACGCCTCTGGACACAGGACAGCGCCTCGGCCCTCCCTCCGCCAAACCCCCAAAACCTTCTTCCAGCCCCATGCCAGCATGCTCTACCTCACAACAAGTGAGTCAGCCTGAAAAAATGTTCCTAATCTTGTAAGGCCTTTAAAGGGAGAAGCTGTCTATTTAAAGATGTGTTGACTGCATGACCATTAACGGGCTTTTGAACGCTAATCTATAACTAAATGAGGCTATAACGCCTCATTATTATTGGAGCTGAGTTATCACACCACTTACCCGTGTGACAACGCAGAAATAAAATTGCCGTTTTGTGTTCTTCAGGCAGAGACAGACTACTTTTTGTTCACTGGAGAAACATTTTTCACATCAGGGTGACAAAACTGATTCAAAGGTCACGTTGTAACTTTGGAAGCACAGATCTTTATTCATAATCAACTTCAGTGTTTCTTTCTCTTTTTTTAGCTCTACCTGTTTATTCCCAAATCGAGAGACCACTACAAATGGAGTTCTAAAGTTAAATTAAACAAACACTGATGGCAAATCACACTGTTTTAATTCTTTTAAGCTGATGAAAGGGTACTTGGCTGAAAAAAAATATTTCACAAGGGGTACAGTGATTGAGAAAACTTTGAGAATCACATATATAGGAGAAACTATGACTGTGGACAAGTGTGTATGCCTTTAAATGGCATTTCTACTTTGTAGAGATACTTAGAATGAAACCAATGAATAGCCTTAAGTATGAGGCTGGCTATTTCCTGGCTATAGCGTTAGCCACTGTGCTTTACAGCGACGTGTCAGTCGAGGCTACCGGCAAGTGTGCTGAGAATGCTTTTGATGAGTGTATTTTGTTACTCTTTGTCTACTGAAGTGAATGAAAGAGCACCCGCGGCGATTTCCATCCTCCCTCTATCTATACCGCCTGTTATAGATTGCAAATCTTTTTAACTAGCATGGGTAGGCGACATTCACTTAGCTCATGTTTACTTTTATGGCGGCATGCAGTTGAGTAATTGGACTGAACTGATGTCGGACATCAATCTTTCTCTAAAACGTTTCCAAATTGTCCTCTCGTGAAGACATTCAAGATTCATGGTTCCACGGTGTAATGTAATATATTGATTTGTATCATGTAAATGCAGCTATAAACAGAAGAACTGACGATATTACAGCTTCTGATAATCATAGCATTACTACTGATAAATTTAGCGGTGTTGGGGGAAGAAGCCCTTACTATTTGGTCTGGTCTCAGTGTGTGTGTGTGTGTGTGTGTGTGTGTGTGTGTGTGTGTGTGTGTGTGTGTGTGTGTGTGTGTGTGCGCGCGCGCGCGCGCGCGCGTGCGCCCTATATGCGGGGGGTAAATAATAAGCAATCAAGACTTTTTTCAACAACAATCTTGATAATGGCTTCACTTTTGCATGTCATAGACACACACACACACACACGCACACACACACACACACACACACAC